CTCTCACATGTTACCTCCTTGTTGATCATGACCATTGTTCCAAGGAAGAAAAGTCCCATACGACCCTCCGGTGCCACGTGGACTAGCCCCGGAGAGCCTATAAACCGGGTTCAACGGAGGCTGTTGCGGCGGAAGCGGCTGAGGCTGGAAAACCAAATCAACGACGTTTCCAGGTGCTGACGTGGACAAACCGTAGTGAGCCAAGTCAGCATTAGCCACGTCGAGCTCCTTTTGAAGCCTATGGACTTGTCTCTGGAGATAAGAGATGGCTCCGACACAGCCATAGACCGGATCACGGACACGTGCCTCGGCCTCATAGGCTAAGGAGTTGACTGCGTCTTCACGTTGGTGAGGGAGGAGCTCGTTGAGGAGCTTGGTGACGTTGCTTGCTCCGAAGATTTTGTGGACGTTGGCGAATTTGTGTGGCTCCTCCGGTGGAAAATATGGCGCGAATATGCATCCCGGCATGCATTTCCGGCGAAGAAACTTGCACGCCGCGCATGGTGAGTTGTATGAGTTTGTTGACGACGAAGCCATTTCTTTTTCTTTTCTTATACCCTAATAAGTTTCCAAAAAATTTTCAAAAAAAATTTAAAATAAATAAGTTTCCAAAACAATTAACACAAACAAAAAAAGAAGTTAAAACACATATTCACACACATATTTATAGTATGCTTTTATAAATAACTTTCTCATATATAATTTGAATTTGCTAGAAAAATGATGAAACGCCTAGGTTTTCGTTAAGAAGTTGTGTTTCTTCTACTTTTACACAACTTCTACTCTTTCAAAAAAAAAAAAAGTGTATTTCTTCTATATTGGTACGTTTAAAAAAGGCAAAAGTAAGTCGATTTTTCCTCACTCTTTTTTTGAACTTCTACTTATTTTTTATTTATTTTCCCTTTTTGAACTTCTACTTATTTTTTATTTATTTTCCCTTTCTACGTTTCTCTTGATATGTGACAAAATATACACATATGCTTGTGTACCTTTGTGTCTTTATGTGTATACATATGCCTTCGTCTCTGCATATTTTTGTATCACC